ACCCCCCCCCCCCCCCCGCCTCCGCCAAGGATTCGAAACTCACTGTACACAGTCAGTTCTTACGGAAATGCTCACCACTTGCCTGGGTCCTAGTCTCTGTCTCTTCCCCCTTGAGGGCCCAGCTCTATGCCTTTCAGGAATTTGAAAGCACTGGCAAAGGTCCCCACCCAGGTTTCTTCAACCAGGCTGAACAAGAACAAACAGTCTCAGAACATAAAGAGGTGAAAAGAAAAGGGAACAACTTTGCTCAGCAAACAATCTTCTACAGCTGTTCCCTAGCAGTGACACACCCAGAGTTCCCAAGACCCAAGAAAAACTGGGGGCATTTCTAATAGGCATTGCAATAAAGACAGGCCCCACCAACACTGCCTGTTCCTGAACACAGTGGGGACTCACTGAGGCACGCATGCATACATTTGCACATGTGTACCTGAACACTTGCAACCCACGTGCATGTACACTCATATAAATATATAATAGCAACTCAGGAGGGAAGCAGCCACATTTCAGGGCTGACAAAAGGGGTCATGATGACACTTGAGCAATCCAATCAAGTGCTTCAAAGTGTCACCATTACCTGAAAGGTGACCTATCTACCTCTCACCCACTGTTGTTTGAGGATAAGAAGTAGACTGAAGGCCGGTGCTGAGTGATGCAGCCTCCCCCTCCTCCGCCCTGGGAGAAGAGAGCCAAAAGCTACTTGAGATAAGCACTGCCAGCACGTGCTATGGAGGACAGTAAAGCAAAGAGACTTGATGAGAGTGTTGGGGGGTGGGGAGTCTGCATTGGTCTTCTATCAGACTGAAAATACCTGAGATACTAAATCGGTGGCCCGAGCCAAGGCCAGAACGGACACTTATAGGAATGGAAACTTATTGCCAGCTAGTTCTATGAAACAACAGACATATAGAAGTTCTGAAACCGCCTATAGGCATGGGTGGGCAAGTTCCAGCCTGATCACCTCCTGAGAGATGCTGTCCTACAGCGTAAGTGCTTCTCACTTGAATGTCAACACAAATCACCTGGGATCCCTGAAGAACACATTCAACCCCACAGGTCTGGGGTGAAGCTCAAGATGATTCCTTCCTTCCTTTGTTCCTTCATTTCTTCATTCGTTCCTTCCTCCCTCCCCCTTCCCTTCCTTCCTCCCTCCCACATTTACTTATTGTATGTGTGCGTCTGTATATATGTGGGATGTATGTACATGGGAGTACATGCAAAGGCATGTATGTGGAGGTTAGAGGACAACTTTGGGAATCAGTTCTCGCCTTCCACCTTGTCAATCTCTTGTTTCTGTTCCAGGCTAGCTGGCCCTTGAGCTTCTGGGTGATCCCCTGTCACCTTACCTGGCTTTTTATGTGGGTTCTAGGTTGGTAGGCTCGCTTGACAAGCACCTTTAAGTGCTGAGTTATCGCACCAGTCCAAGTCTTATTTTTGACTATTGGCTGGGGATGCAAAAAAGGGAAGAGGCCCAGTGAGAGGGCTCAGTGGGAAAAGTGCTTGCTGTCACGCCTGACAACCCGAGTTCAATGGAGACCCACATAGCGGAGAGAACCAATCCCCACAAGTGGTCCTGTTACCTCCACATGTGCACCACAGTGTACACATACACACACGTAATAAAAAATGTTTTAAAGGGGGAACGAGGCAGGCTGTCCTTGTGGAGCCCACAGCTTGGCAGGTGAGACTAAGACCCACAGAAGCATTTCTGGGATGATGTGAGAAGCTTGACAAGCTCCAAAGGGAGGCAAGGGTGTCTGCAGCACCCTGGCTATGTACCAGGGCGTGACACAGAGATGAGGACATGCAAGCCTGGTGTCAGAGGTCAGGCTCTCTCTGGACAGGATAAGGTTATGAAGGACATTTCAGGAAGAGAATGGGAAAGTATATATGCCATGTCTCAGAAACTGTGATGAGGGGCAAGTGCTAAAATAGGCCATCATCTGAGGGGCCCAGGACAGGAGTCAGGCTCACTACTGGGAATCAGCAAGGGGGAGAGAGTCTAGCTGAGTGTGAACAGGAGAGAGATTTAAGGCAAAGTAAATTTTAAACAAATAAAACTCCGAGCCCTTCCTGACTTTCAATATGGCAAGAATTGAATTAGTCTCTCAGTGTCTCTTTTTACATGCCTAAACTCTTGAATGCATTCAAATCGTTTGGTATCTTGCTTTTCACATTTTAATATTAAACATAAGCATCTCCCTTGTTTGGTATGAACGCACTCTAATCCTCACTTATTCCTGACTGTACAATATTCCACCTCATGGATGCACAAAACTCGACTGAGATAATCCCTTTTATTGAAAATTCCAGTAGTTCCAAATTCTTCATGGTTATAAACTGCCTTTTCTGACTTTTAGATCAATAATGTTAGAATAGAGTCTCAGGAGTGGGACTGGAATCAAAAAAAGCATAGGTTTCTGACTTGGGACATATGGCCAGACCACTTTCCAAAAGAACTGTGGTGGTACACAGGTAAAGTTATGGATACCTGGAATCTGGAAAACTAGTCTGGAGGAGGCCAGTTTGACAAAGATGTACCCCAGCTTGAGCTCTGAGAAGGCTCATGCTGCAGCTGGGAAAGGAAGCCCTCTAAGTAGTACAGGACTGGATGGGACCACAGGGGCACCAGCAGACTGAAGAGGACCTCCTCTACAGATGGAGACCCTGGATGCCAGACTGGAGTTTCTCACTGGCCTGGACTCTCTTCCCTCAGGGACCTATAATATCTCTGAGGAGCCCCTGGGTACTAGGAAAAAGGACAGCAAAATTCAACTGGGTTGACAAAACAGCTCTAGTATCTGCCTGGCCAGGCTGGACCCCATTTATGTTCCATTTACCCCGGGTGGGTACCAATTGCTGCTCTGCAACCTCCTCTCGAGCAGGGCCACTGTTCCTACCTGCCAGGGCAGGGATGGTGACCCGGTTCCACTCCCAGGGCTGGTCATACTCATCAGCGGGCCTGTCGTCATCCTGGGGCAGCTTGCTCTCCCGAAGCCGAGGGCTGACGGTGCTCTCTGAGTCTGAGTCCACACTCTGGCCTTCGGGCTCATAAGGGGTGTCGTATAACTGGATGCCTTTGTGTTGGGACCGGACACTCTCCTGCCTCTGGAATTCTGCAGGCAAAAAGGAAGGAAGCAAAGATATCATGGATGTGCAATCCCTGCCCAGGAACAGGCCTGAGGTTAGAGCCGTCAGTCAGGGAGGTGAGGGGGACAGAGGAATGACCCCTTTCTGCTTGACTCTCTGGATGAGACTTGCTTCCCAAGATCACAGCTGTCAACCTAACATCCTCAAAAGCACCTTGCTTCTAGCCACTGGCTGCTCTGTCTTCAAGAATAGGGGCTAGACACAGACAGCAAATGGCAGGTGCGTTCTGACCCTGCCTAGACCCCTAGCTTAACAGGTGAGTGGGTATCTTCCCCAATGGGACCTGGCAGTCCTATCTGCATAGAGGTGACATTGGGCCAAATGACCCTCCAGTTCCCACCCAGTTCATAGATTAAAGAGCCAACATGCAAAGAATCTTCCGGTGAGGGCCTGGCTGGACCACTCTTCACCCCAGTGAAGCTAAGCTGGGTGATGCCTGCCTTATTTCTACCTCCCAGAACAGGAATGGGAACTGGGGTTCACATCTTCTGAGGAGGACATTCAGGCCTGACTAGTTGTCCAGACAGGGAGCAGGCATTTCAGCTGCTGCTTCTTCAAGGAAATACAGCAGAGTTGGAAAGATGATGCTGGGGTTCTAAATGCAAGTGCTTCCTGGAAGAGCAGGGAACCTTGACTAGCTTTTGGATCATCAACACCTGCTGTAGGCAGGACTCATGCTGGGAACCCAGAGAGGGTTTGCTGTTCAGGCTGCTCCTAGAGAGACTGTATTCTGGAGACATGTACCTATATCACCATGACATTCAGGTCGAGGGTGAAGGAAACTGGGCACAGGAGTAGTGGTGGGTGGGAGGGGCAGGGCAGGAGGAAAGAGCCAGCATTTGAACTGACAGCTTTGACAAGCAGAAGCAGAAGGGGATGGCGTCTCCTGTGGTGGGACCAGAGCAAGCCAAGGCCACATCACAAAAAGAAGCTCACTGTCTTTCATTTCTTTCTCTTTTTGAGACAGTGCCTCGCTATGTAGCTCAGGCTGGTCTGGAATTTGCTAAGTGATTTAGGCTGGTCTTGAACTTCCGAGTCTCCTGCCTCATCCTCCTCAGTGCTAGAATTACAAGCAAGGGCCACCACACCTGTCTCTCCAACTTTAATTTTTATTGTAGTATATGTAACAACTCTCTGTTTTAGCCATTATTAAGTGTGTAAATCAGCGTCATTAAATACACTGACTGTTGTGCAGTGATTATTGCCATGTAGCTCTTGAACTTTCTCATTGTCCCAAACTGAAACCCTGTATCCATTAAACACTAGCTCCTCACATCCCCTCTTCTAGCCCTGGAAAACCCATTCCTCTTCTCTGAGTCTAACTGCTCTGGCTGACTTCCTCCTGCAATTTAGTCAGCTTTTGTCCTTCTCTGAGTGGCGTACTACACGTGGCATCCTATTTCCAAGGTTCTTCCATGCTGGAGCACGTGGCAGAATTAAGGCTGAGTCATATTTCAGCATGTGGACATTCACTGTCTTACTGAACTGTGGCACTAGATTCAAGGATGTGAAACTGGGCACAAAAGGACTGAGGGTCCAAACCAGGACTGACTTCAAGGTACGCTGGAGGTACTTTCCTAACCATAGCCAGTGTCATAAAGATATGGCAGAGGCCCACAGGCCTTGCAAGCAGCTGATAAAACATGTGTGAGTGACCTCAGAGGACGAACTGCTTGTGGTCTCTGCTTTACAACCCTCAGTCACGTCACTGAGATGACAGAACACACAAAGCAGTGACTGTGCACTGGTCTTTAGGATTACATTAACTTTAAAAAAAAATTTTTTGGGGGGTCTTTTTGAGACAAGGTCTCCCTGTAGCAGCAGCTGGCCTGGATTCGCTATGGAGACCAGGCTGGCCTCGAACTCACAGAGATCCACCTGCCCCTGCCTTCCCAGTGCTGGGATTAAAGGTGTGCGCCACCACTGCCCGGCATGGACTACATTAACTTTTATGCTGGTATTTTCCAAACTTCACTGAGTCCTATCCCAACTTCATGGCGTCTGTCTTTTCCAGTACCACCACCTTATTCGTTAAGTAGATAAATTCATTTAAAAAGTAAAGTTAGTTTCTGTAACTACCTCAGAAGCCATATCTCTTGCTGAAAATGGATGCTAAACACACAAAAAAACGAATGAGGAGCAAACCCACTGGCTAGCACTACTGGGTGCCACATGGAGGGAGCCCGGGGCTTGCTTTCTCTCTACAGAAAAGGAAGATTTGCGAACATTAGAGAGCTTGTGGCGATGCAGGCAGAAACAACTGAAAATAAGAATTTTCTTCCTCTAGGAAGGGAGGAGATGAACAGGGAAAAAGCCTTCCAACTGTGGTTCTCTGGTCACTTAAAAACATGTCTCCCAAGATGTGTCTCTATATATTGGTAAAATGTGGCTTTTATGGGTCATGTAGAATCATGTTTCCCTTTGTTCAGAGAGAGGAAGAGAAAAAGAGCAGGGAAAGAGGACCAACTGTAAAGCCCTGTGTGCAATTTTATAAATTACTTCATTACCAAACCATGTGGTCTACTTACTGCTTTGGGGGGCAGGGTCCTTGATATCTGAAGCTCTCTCCCTGGTTCTGAGGAGCAAATGCTAGCTTCCTACTTGAAGGACACAAAACCTGAGGACACTGGGGGGCAGCTAGGAAGACTGACAGCTGAAAACCACCCTCTTCACCTCCTCACAGGTAGGATCAACAACCACTTAGTATCCTCCATAGTGACAAAGTACCTTTCAAGTGAATTGTCACTTTCTCTAAGGGCAGAAAGCAATTCACAGATGCACGTCTATGAGACCCTTGCCCCTCCCTGCAGAGTAAATGTGGGGAGGTAAACGCGCAAAAACTGACAGCCAAACACCACTCTGTACCCCCCAAATTCCCATTAAGCTGTGAAAGTGCCAGATGCCAGTGATGAAGTGCCCGGAAATGCACAGTTAGTATTATGCAATATTCCAAAGAGACAGGCTTGCTACATAAATACCAGCCTAATAGGAAAATGTGCAGAGAACAGATTAGCTATCCAATCAGAGGGACTTGTGATACACCTCTCACACAGGATTTGCTGTTATAAGCACCAGCACCTTACCAAAGCTGGATCTAAAACAGCATGCAATTAAGGCAGGGATGTCATTGTGGTAATCATTAACCCCCCCCCCCCCACAAGGTGGTTTCAAATTTTCATTAAGGGCCCAACAATAGGGAACAGTTAAGTAAATTATGGCATGTTAACTGGATGGAATACTAAGCAGTCATTAAAATGATAGATAGGAAGATAAGGTAGCTACAAGGGAAAGCGTGCATGAAATTAAGTTAAACTAAAAAGTAAAAAACAGAAATGTTTATATGTTGAGACCCAAAGTGTATAATGTAAGCTTCCTAAACAATTCCTGGCAATATGAACAACCCCACAAAGGGAATTCTGCTCCTTGCTTAGGAATTTTTTCCAAAACTAGCATGGCACATTTTGCCTGTAACATCTAAACTTGAATGACAGCAACGTCCCAAAACAGACACACAGGACTAAAGAGCTGATACAGGATACCCTGACACAGGAAGGCAAACAGCTTCTGAGCAGAGGGAAAAACTGCTGTGTAATTAGTTTTGAAAGTTGTTGTGAATAATACTAGTAAAGAAAAAATATAATTAAGGCAGGAACACTGACGTTAGGCAGGCTGGGGCTCTCCAGCAGCTGGGCTGGCTGTTATGAAGAGGCTGCCAAGAGGTCCAGCAAGACAAGGCCACTATGCCAGGCCACCTGCAGGACACTGCTGTAGGACACTGTTGTCTCCTGTCTCATAACCACACCACTCCCACTTATTAATGAGGCCCAAGATTGATCTTATAGGAGGTGCTGGTACCTGCATGTTTTTTTGTTTTTGATTTTTTTTTTTTGGTCTTTTTGAGACAAGGTCTCCCTGTAGCCCCAGCTGTCCTGGAACTCACAATGTAGACCAGGCTGGCCTTGAACTCACACAGATCTGCCTGCCTCTGCCTCCCAAGTGCTGGGACTAAAGGTGTGCACCACCACGCCCAGCGGTACCTACATATAAGTCACAAGTTATCAAGACAGCATCAACTATATATTCAAGGAAAACTTCCTTCAATACTGAGTGGCAGGCTGTGATTTCATGCCTTGTAGGCAGCAAGCAGAAACATTAAATTGACAGGGTGGGGATTTCTCTTAACCTCTAGAGTAGAAAGGTTTTCAACTGGAACTAAACATGGAGAAAAAAGGGGCTGGGGGTGGGGCAGAACAGAACACTTTCTATAGAATCAAAGACTGTTAGACTTGGGAGCTGGAGAGATGGCTCAGTGGTTAAGAGCACTGACTGCTCTTGCAGAGGACCCGGGTTCGATTCCCAGCACCCACATAGCAGCCACGAACTGCCCTTAACTCCAGTTCCAGATTCGATGCCGTCTTCTGACCTCTGCAGCATTTCATGACACATGTGCATTTACCTACATATAGGCAATACACTCCTGCACATAAAATAACAAAATAATAAATTTAAAAAAATAAATTCTTTAAAAAAAAGACTGTTAGACTTGGAAGAAACTCTAAGAATTCTGTCATGTTTACCAAGAAAGTTGGAGGGAGGCTACTGAAGGGCTGAAGAAGCCAGGCTCATATATGATAATCCAGGGAGGAAATAGGGGGCAACCAGGACAGGCCAAGCTCCACGCAGATGAGGAGCCTCTTGGGGAGGATGTGATGAGACTGTGATGTTGTCAGTTTCAGGACTGACAGCAAGCTACACTCCTGTACTTACCAACTCACCCCCCCGCCATTTATTTTCCCTTCTTTTTCAGAAAGGTCTCACTGCGTAGCCCTGACTGACCTGGAACTTGCTATGTAGACCAGACTGGCCCTTGATCTCACCACAGATCCACCTGCCTCTGCCTCCTGGGTACTGGGATTAAAGGTATGTACCACCATAACCAGCTTTAAATAAGACTTCTTTAAAGCAG